CTGGACTGATCTTTAAGACCCTCCCCAAACCCAAACCGTTCTGGGATTCTACGAAAAGGATGAAAAGAAGCATCAGGAAAACCCAAAATTTGTGCTGGCACTCGGCTCCCATCCTCCCCCACGTGCATTGCCTCCGCGGGGTCCAGCTTGCAGATTCATCTTCCCTGGGAGATTAGCGACTAATCTCTCCTTCATCCGCCGTCTTTCTTATCTGTGTCGGGTGCCAGACTGGAAATTACTGAGTCCTGCTGGTCCCGGGGTCCAGCCCTGGTGAGCGTCAGGAGGATCTTTGCAGGGGGCTCCCACAAGGAGGGGGCGAGGGAGAACGGACCACGCTCAACGTAGAAGCATAGACCAGGCAGGAGAAAGGGGATGTTTTCCAGCCCTTGCTGACCATCCCGTTCCTAAGAGCAGACAGCAAGCATCATCCCAAGGGCAAGAGCAGGGAAATCCGCTGGGAAACCCCTCCTGCTCCTTCCCCCAGCCATTGGGGCACCTGCTCCTTCTGATTAAATCGTCTCAAGGTAATTGTGCCTGTCATTGAGACAGATTAACGGGTGACCTTCTGCCGCCGGAGCAGGATTGGCGGCCGCCGCCGAGCTCCCAGTCCTTCTTTCCCTCCCACCGGCCACGGTGGCACAGCCGGGCAGAGGATTCCCGTCCGCAACCGGTGGGAAGATGCCCGGCAGTGGCCGGGGCGCAGCGGGAGCCACAAGCCGAGAACGACGTGTGCCGGACCGGCAGCCGCTCTGCCTGGACATGAGGTGGGTGTCCCCCGCGCCCAGGGGCCTGGGGAGCCGCGAGGTTGGTCCGGAGACTGACATCCTCTGATGGTCCCGCTGCTCTGCGGCAGCAGGGGATGCTCGGCGGAGGCAGAGTGCCAACACTCCCACCCCATCCCCACCCCTATCCCCGCAGGCCGCTGCGCTCCGGGCTGCGTTTCCAGGACCGTGACCTCCCACCACATCTCCCCATGGGCACCGGCTGGACTCAGCGTGTCCTGAGGAGCCCGGCGGTGGGGTCTGCATCTCTCTCACAGGCTCTCCTTCCTCCGCACCTAGGGGCCATCCATTTCTGCTCGGAGCTTCTTAGAGAACCGGCAGCTACCTCCACGGCCTGGAACAACTGTGTTACAGTGCCTTAGGCGCTTACCTGGAGCTTGCCGGCTGCCGAGGCTGCTTCTCACCGGAGACGAACGCCTCCTTCCCCGGCCTTGCAATGCAATTATGGCCCTTAATGGGCTTAGCCATCTGGAGCCTGCCCGCGGGCACCCCGGCACAGCTCCGGAGCTGGGACGTGCCTTGCTGGGCAAGGGGGACCCCCCGGACCCTGGCCCCTGGGGGTGCGGAGGGGGGCCAGAGCCCCAGGCTGCTTTCCGTGTCCGAGTAACTCCCCGCTCTGTCTCCCCCACGGCAGGCCGTCGCGCCCCGCCCGGGGCTGAGCCCACCATGGTGCTCCCGTACGCTCGCAGCAGCGGCGGCGCGGGCGGCTGGCTGGCCCCGGCGGAGCCCCGCGCCCGCAGCAACTCCATCCCCCCGGCGCAGACCCCCACGGCCAAGCACATGCTGGCCTACCTGCCCCGGCCACCCGCCGACACCAGCCGCTACGGCACCTTCCCGCAGAAGGTATGGCTCGCCCTGGGGCATCCTCGGCGCCGCCGGGCTCGCGGTTGCTGTCGGAGGCGATTTCTCACCGACGGGCTCCTTTCCCCCCCCCGCAGCCCGACCTCCCGGCCGTCCCCGGCGCTCCGGTGGAGGACGGCGGGCAGAAAGCCGCCGCTGCCAAGAGAGGCGCCCCGATGCCAAACTACCCATCTGCGCCCCGCCACAGCGGCTTTGTCCCCGGTGAGCCGTCCCTGCCGCCGAGCCGCGGCAGCCTGGCCGCCCAGCAGCCCCGCGGGCGGCCGTCCTGGTGCCCAGCGCCTGCCCCGCTGGAGGCGGGTGCCCGCCTGCACCCGCTGAGCGTGGCCAGCATCCCCAACTCCCGCGGCAAGACCTCCGCCCGCAGCTCCACCATTCCCACGCCGGAGGGGCTGCAGGGCCGGCGCTGCAAGCTGCTGGAGGAGGACAGCCCCGTGGTCCAGGCCGGCAAACGGCAGCGGCAGCGCTACGTGACAAAAGTGGGCAAGTGCCAGGTGAATCTGGGCAACATCCAGGACAAGAAGAGGTTCCTCTCAGACATCTTCACCACCATCGTAGACCTCAAGTACCGCTGGTTCCTCTTCGTCTTTATGATGTGCTACATCATCACCTGGGTGGTCTTTGGCTTCATCTACTTCTTGGATGCCTGGGTGCGGGGTGACGTTGGGCACCAGGGCGATCCCGAGTGGCAGGCGTGCATTGAGAACGTGGATGGCTTTGTGTCCGCCTTGCTCCTCTCGGTGGAAAGCCAGCGGACCATCGGCTATGGCACTCGGATGGTGACGGCCAACTGTGCCGAGGGCGTCATCCTGCTGATGGCACAGTCCATCGTTGGCTCCATGATTGATGCCATGATGGTTGGCTGCATGTTCGTTAAGATCTCCCGGCCCAAGAAGCGTGCCCAGACCCTCATCTTCAGCAAGAACTGCGTCATCTCCCTCCGGGACGAGAAGCTGTGCCTGATGTTCCGCGTGGGGGACCTGCGGGAAAGCCACATGGTGGATGCCAAGATCCGGGCAAAGCTGATCAAGTCCCGTCAGACGGCCGAGGGGGAGTTCATCCCCCTGGAGCAGTCGGAACTGAACCTGGGCTATGACACAGGGGAAGACCGTCTGTTCCTGGTGGAGCCCCAGATCATCTGCCATGTCATCAACCATCACAGCCCTTTCTGGGACATGTCTGCTGAGTCACTGCGCCGGGAGCAGTTTGAAATCATCATCATCCTCGAGGGCATCGTGGAAGCCACAGGCAAGTGGTCTCAGGGGGTCAGGGTGGGGAGGGGGGGGCTCCCCTGGGGTCCTGGAGATGCTGGGCAAACCTGGGCCCGGGAGTGGCATCTGAGCAAGAGAAGCTCGGGGTCAAAACTGTCTCCAGCAGGCCACGGGCGCTGCAGGGCTGGAAGCCCCTGGCCAGGCAGCAGGGCTCGTTGTGGCACAGCTCAGCCATTGTCTCGCCGCAGGAATGACGTGCCAAGCCCGCACCTCCTACACAGAGGACGAGATCCTCTGGGGATACCGCTTTGAGCCCTGCATGTCCCTGGAGAAAGGCGCCTTCCAGGTGGACTACAGCCGCTTTGAGATGACCTTTGAGGTGCAGACGCCAGCGGCCAGCGCCAAGGAGCTGCAGGAGCTGAGGGAGCTGGAGCAGCAGGAGCACTCCACGCTCAGCCTCTACTGGGACCACCTGCTGCAGCCCTGCGCGCTGCCGGGGCCCGGCGAGGACGCGCCGGTGCGGATCGGTGCCGCCGGCAGCGCGGCTGAGGGCGGCCGGGACCAGCCTCCAGAGCGGGAATTCCCTGCCTGAGCTGCCCCGGCCGTGGTGCCCACGCCAACAGTGCCATAGCCCACCCTCCTCCGTGGGGCTGAGCCCCTGTGCCCTCACCCCCATTCCCAGCGCAGCCCCAGGGCATTCTTTTTGTCAAGTTGTTCTTTTGCAACGAGGAATACCAAGCGCAACTAGTGGGCGAGTAAAGGCTGCTCATGACCAAACCACCCGACCACCGGCCGTGTTTATTCTGGGGGAACTCTCAGGGGCCTGGGCAAAGAAAAGGCAGAGCCCAGAGGCCTCAGTGCCATGGGCTCCGTGCTGCACCACCTCGTGGAGCCTGACACGGCCCTGTGCCCCCCACACCCCAAACTGCCCCGCTCCCTGTCTGACAAAGAGCCCCAGGACTCCCCCAGCATGGAGGTCTTGCACTGGGCTGGTGCTGCGAGAGGTTGGACACGGTGTAGTGGAATTAAATTAATTTTGTTACAGGAATCACATCACTGGAGTCACCTGCAGCACTTGCCAGGGGCCTGGATTGAAAAACAAACCAATAAAATCTGTGTATGCAGGGTCTGGCTGGGCTGAGGAGCCTCCATGCAGTCCCCAGGCAGCTTTGCCTCAGAGGGTTGCAGAACAACCCTTGGGATTTAACCCCTTTTGTCCACCTCTGCTGTTCCTCTATCAGCCTGCCTTTGTATCTCCTCACAGAGTCTTGGCAGGCTATTTTCTGACCTCACCTCAAATCTCCCCTACCAAGAAGGGTGCGAGGGAGGGGATGGAGCAGCTGGGAGGCCCTGGGGCCGAGGTCAGCCCAGCACAGAGGCGATGCATGGGGGTGTAATATAAACACACACATCAGTGTCCCTGCACCACACCCTGCAGCCCCAAATTCCCTGTAAACACAAAACTCCCTGCACAAGTTAAAAAAAAAACTGCAAAGAAGTGTCTGTAGGTGCAAAGTTAATAAGGGTCAATATGCACATTGATTCAATATAAAATCGTGATTTGCCTGTTAAGCAGTTGATTTACATATCGTTAATATTCAAATGTAGGCCATTGGACCAATAAAAACCACAAACTTGGTTATCGCACAGACGGTCGGGATTCACAACACGGGACATGCTCGGCTCCCACCGAGCTGGGCTGGATTCCTGTCCCTGCCCCATTCCTTGTCCTTGTCCCATTCCTATCCCATTCCCTATCCCTGTCCCTGCCCCATTCCCATTTCCATTCCCATTCCCATTCCCATTTCCATTCCCATTCCCATTCCCATTCCCATTTCCATCCCCATTCCCATTCCGTGCCCCATTCCCATTCCCATTCCCATTCCCGTTCCCGTTCCCGTTCCCGTTCCCATTCCCATCCCCATTCCCCATTCCCATTTCCCATTCTCATTCCCATTCCCATTCCCGTTCCCATTTCCATTCCCATTCCCCATTTCCCGTTCCCGTTCCCCTCCCCTCGGGGCCGCAGCTGTCGTTCCCGGTCCCGGTCGCCAGGCGTCGCTGCCGCCGCTCCCGTTGGAGCTCCCTAAGTTCCGCCTGCCGTGGTTCAGTTCCGGCGCGTCGCGGTGACGTCGATTGTGCGCGCCGCGGTGACGCGCAGAGCTCGGCGGCGCCGGCGGCCGAGGTGGGAGCGGAGGGGAGCGGAACCTCCGCACCGAGCGGGAGGGGAGCGGACCGGAGCCTCCGCACCGAGCGGGAGGGGAGCGGAGCGAGACCGGGGCCCCCGCACCGAGCGGGACGGGACCGGACCGGAGCCCCCGCACCGAGCCGGACGAGCCCGCCGCGCCTTCCCCGCAGCCTTGGCCCGGCTCTCCCGTATGGCGCGGCCCTGAGGGGAGATGACCGACCAGGAGAACAACAACAGCATCTCCAGCAACCCCTTCGCCGCCCTCTTCGGCTCCGTTGCTGCCGCCAAGCACTTCGCCGCCGTGCAGAAGCAGCAGCAGCTGCGGCAGCTGGCAGGTGCGGAGGCCGAGGCCGGCCTGGGGAGGGGGCGAGGCGGTCCGCTTGGCAGGGGTCGACCCCGGACGCTGAGGGCTCTGTCCTGCAGGCGAGGAGACGTCCATCAGCCAGGATGACTCTGACAACAGCGTCTCCGAGAGCCTGGACGACTGCGACTACTCGGTGGCCGAGATCAGCCGCTCATTCCGCTCGCAGCGAGAGCTCTGCGAGCAGCTCAACATCAACCACATGATCCAGAGGATCTTCCTCATCACCCTGGACAACAGTGAGCCCAGGAACCCCCGGGAGGGTGGTCCAGGCTGGGGCAGCTCTGCGTGCCGGGTCTGACACCCCAGGGGGCAGCTGGGAGGGGACAGTGCCAGGGGCAGCAGCTGGGGCTGTGCTGGGACAGTCCTGCCTGCAGGTGGAACAGGTCCCTCTGCCCTTCGCAGGTGACCCCAGCATGAAGAGCGGGAATGGGATCCCGGCACGCTGTGTCTACCTGGAGGAAATGGCCGCAGACCTGGATGACCAGGACTGGCTGGACATGGACAACGTGGAGCAGGTAGGCACACCTGCCTGGGGTCACCTGCAGACTTTGGCCACTGGATTCAGTTTGTTTCCTCAAATGTACATATGATGTATCCCAAATCCTTTTCCAAAACCTGGCACAAAGCTGCCACTTATTACTATTTTGTTGGAAAAGTCCATGAGATTTTTGGGATATGAAGCTGAGAAAAGTGAAGAATTTGGGGAAGCTGCAGGAGTTTGCTGCCCTGCAGGTCTGTGTGGGTGGGAAAGGGAAGAAGTACCAGAGAACTCAGTCAGCAGTGTCCACGCACTCTTGTCCTCATTGGCAGCTGTGTCAGTCGTTCCTGCTGAGGACTTCAGTGGAAATGGTTGCTGGTGGGGGTACTGTTATTCCATGGGGACTGGAGGATTTGCTTAGGCCAGAAGCAGCTGGGGGCTCTCACTCCAGCACTGTTACTTACTGAGGGGCAGGGAGAGCTGTTCCCAGCATCAGTCAGTGAGCCGGGGGGTGTGGAGCCTCCTCCTGGGGAGGGCTCAGCTCTGTGCTGTCACTGCACCCGTCTGTGCCGCTGCCCAGGCCCTGTTCACCCGCCTGCTGCTGCCGGAGCCCGGGAGCCACTTGATCCACATGACCTGCACCAGCAGCCAGAACCTCTCGGCTGAGCGCGACGCCGGGGAGAGGCAGATCCTGCGCTACCTCTACGCCTGCTTCCGCAGGGCACGGGAAGAGGTGGGGGAGGCAGCTCCGGCACCCAGCCTGCAGTGACCCAGCTCGAGCTGCGCTGAGCGGGGCCCCAGCGCTGCCTCCTTCTCCTTGCTCAGATCACCAAGGTCCCAGAGAATCTGCTGCCCTTCGCGGTGCGCTGCCGCAACCTGACGGTGTCGAACACGCGCACCGTCCTCCTCACCCCCGAGATCTACGTCAATCAGAACGTCTACGAGCAGCTGGTGGACCTGATGCTGGAGACACTGAGAGGGGCACGTAAGTGAGAGGGTTGTGCCACTGCCTCAGTGCTGCGAGGCTGCCCTGCAGCATCGTGGAGCTGGGTGAAGCTTTGGCTCTCCTTGCTGCCAAAAGAGAGGGTTGTGTCTGGGTTGGTCTGACTCCTGGAGCACTCTAAGTAACAACCTTGTATCTCCTGACAGAGTTTGAAGACATGACCGAGTTCCTTGAGGAGGTCATAGAAGCCTTAACAATGGACGAGGAGGTGCGCACATTTGGGGAGGTCATGGTTCCTGTGTTTGACATTCTGCTGGGGAGAATCAAGGACCTGGACCTCTGCCAGATCCTGCTGTACACATACCTTGATGTGCTCCTCTACTTCACAAAGCAGAAGGACATAGCAAAGGTGGGTACCTTGGCGTAGGCAGGAGCTCTTTGCAGGGGCACATTTACAAGACCTGATTTGCAGAGGTCAAACCAGCAGTGTGGTGTAACAGCACCCAGTGTGTGTAGTCATACCCCCTCCTCTCCCTTCTCATAGCTTGCCACAAACCCATCAGTTTGTTAGGGTTTTTTGCTGGTATTTTGGATTATTGTAAGCATGTCCTGATGTGCTTCCCAGATTTTTACAGGCTACATCCAGCCCAAGGATCCCAGCAATGGACAGATGTACCAGAAGACTTTGCTTGGAGCTGTTTTAAATATCTCCTGCTTGTTGAAGACCCCTGGCGTGGTGGAGAACCATGGCTACTTTCTGAATCCATCCCGATCCAGCCCACAGGAGATTAAAGTGCAGGAATCCAACATCCATCAGGTGGGAGAAGTGGGGCAGTTCTGCTTCCTGCTGTGTTAGTGGCCTCTCATTGCCTGAGGGTTCAAAACATGGTATCAGGGTTTGAGTCCCACTGCTGGTTCAGGAATAGCATGGCTTGCATGTCCCAAAACTGCATTGAATTCTCCAGCTGGAGCATGGGAACAGTTTTGCCAGCTGCCTTGGGTGGTTGTAACCCAAATCTTTGTGCCTTACCAAAGTTGCCTGAGCTTTTGGAAAAAGGGTGGGTGGTACTGTGGAACAGACCACAGAACTTGAGGTGCTACCTCACCCGAGGAGATCATCTACCTCAGGTGTTGAAATCACCAGGGACTAGTTTTCAGTATCTGTCCTGTAATTAAAGTACTAATTGATTCATCGGTTAAGAAAGTGACAGGCAACATTCTCTCTCGTTATGAAAATAAATTTTTTCCATAGAGGAATACCACTAGAAATGTTCCAGTAGGTCAGGAGTGAAGCATGAGGATTCAGGATATAAATACAGGAGTGAACTGGGGTGCAGAGGTCATCCCTGAGAGGGGCTTTCCCACTCAGGGGCTCCATCAGGCTGCCAAAAATAGGCAAAGAATTTTGGATTTACTTTGTATGAGAACAAATTGTCTCAGCTGTGCTTTTGAAGACATCCCTAATTGTTGTTTGCTGCCAGCCCCAGGATCTGACCTGGTTGTACTACCTGTGTGTGATGGGTGATTCACGGGGTGTCCTGAGTAGCAGGACATGATCTGAAGCAGGAAAGGGTCTGATAGCAATGATATCAGAGAGGCAAAAGAACAACCCCCAAGGACTCATTCAGTTGTGTTCTGTTTCCTGTAACAGTTCATGGCCCAGTTCCATGAGAAGATCTACCAGATACTGAAGAACCTGTTGCAGTTGTCACCAGAGACAAAGCACAGGATCCTCTCCTGGCTGGGGAACTGCCTCCATGCAAATGCAGGCCGCACCAAAATTTGGGCTAATCAGATGCCAGAGATTTTCTTCCAGATGTATGCCTCAGATGCCTTCTTCCTTAACCTGGGGGCTGCCCTCCTGAAGCTGTGCCAGCCCTTCTGCAAACCCAGATCTCCAAAGCTGCTAACTTTCAACCCTACCTACTGTGCCCTGAAGGAGCTGAACGAAGAGGAGAGGAGGAGCAAGAACGTACACATGAAAGGTACACCTCAGCATTGGGAACTGAGGGAATGGGAAAGGGGATCTCCTCAGGTCCCCACTTTACCCAGTAGTGCCCTCTCAGTGGATGCCATTAGGGTTAGGGGACAGCTAGAAGTCTGACTAGAGAGGAGCAAGAAGAGAGCTGAATACAAACAAAACACTGCCAGTATCACCAGGAGCCCTTTTGTGTCCTCAAGAGGGACCCTCTCAAGCCCTCTCCTCACCTAGGTAGGACCTGATGCAGAAATGCTTTTCCTTGCAGGTTTGGAAAAAGAAACATGTTTGATCCCTGCTCTGAGTGAGCAAGAGCCACAGTTTGCGAACAGCTACAACCTGGTGACAGAAAACCTGGTGCTCACGCAGTATACCCTGCACTTGGGGTTTCACAGGTACTTGCTTTCAGTTTCCACCCATGTGCAGCTACGCACATGCTTGAACTTCAGCCTGACTGACTGCAGGAAGAAATTTTGGAAGATGCATGTCATTTATAGACACCAATAGCCAAATGCTGGGTATATGTAGATTACTCCATTCCCCCCTTTCCTTGGGGCAGGAGCCCCATCCAGGTGGCAGAGCACCTGCCCACTGGGAGTGACCTAAATGCCCTGATAGCTGGGCTGTGTGTGAAACAGCAATGTGGGGTAGCTGTCAGCTTCTAGGAGAGGATTTTCTGGACACTAAAACACTGTTTTGCACGAGTTCCCTCTGCAAATCGTTGCCTAGATACTGTGAGGTCATGGCTGATCCAAGCAGAGTCCCCTTCTGGTTTATTCTCTAAATATAGACATTGACAGAAAAGTTATTATGCAAGTGGCTTGTTGCTGGGAAACTGAAGCATCACCTTGCAAGCATCTCTGGGCCATGCTGGATCCCTGACCTCAGTGGCCCAAGGGAGCTCGGTGCTGGAGAGGGCTCTGCCATGTCCCCAGGCCACTCTGCAGGTGCCATGGTCCCTCACAGGGTCTCATGCCCTTCCGGGTCCTGCCAAGCCTTTCCCCAAGGCTTCCCATTTTTGGAACCCCAGACAGGGTACCCACAGGAAATTATCTGAATCCACCAGCACAGAACAGCTGGAAGCTCCCACCTGGTTCTGCATTGGTGAGGCAGGATGTCTGTCTGTCTGTCTCCTCAGCCCCTCCTTACCTCCTTTCTGGGCAGGTTGCACGACCAGATGGTAAAAATAAACCAAAGCCTTCACCGCCTGCAAGTGGCATGGCGAGAAGCTCAGCAGAGCTCCAGCCCCGCTGCTGACAGCCTCAGGGAGCAGTTTGAGCGCCTGATGACCATCTATCTCTCCACCAAGACAGCGATGACAGAACCACAGATGCTGCAGAACTGCCTGAACCTGCAGGTGTCCATGGCAGTGCTGCTGGTGCAGCTGGCTGCGGGAAACCGCGGGACCGAGCCGCTGGAGCTGAGCTTCCCGCTGCCGGAGGTGGAGCACAGCGCGCTGGCCTACGTGCCAGGTGAAGCCACGGGTGCTGCCAGGGGTCTGTGCCAGCACCTACCCTACATGAGAGCTGCCTGACCACCGACATTGTGCAGAATATTCTCTCTGAAGAGGATCACTCTTAGAAGATTTGGGGCTGTTTGAGGGGCCATACTTAGGGTAGTGAAGCTGCTGACCTTTTAGAAGTCCTACTCCTTTGCAAGTGACAAATTCTACATTTATTTAGTGTTTTCTCTATACATAAACTCTTTTTTCTGAGGCCTGTTACACAACCTTTGGGGGTTGTGTAAAAGTGTATCATCAGCAGACAGATTCACCCCATAAGTGACCTGACTTGTGGGAGGGAAGAGGGAAGTGAGTCCCAGGTGTTACTCATGCCACCAGGCTGGGCATCCTTTTCCATGGCAGGTTCTAATAGAGCTTGTTAATTACCAATACTTCATCAGCATCAGGGTGGTGAGGGGAGAGTGGATGGGAGGCTGGAAAAGGGTAAGGTAAGCTGCCTGGGGAGGAGCTTAGCTACAATCTCTGTTTGCAGAGTTCTTTGCTGATAATTTGGGCGACTTCTTCATTTTCCTGCGGCGTTTTGCTGATGACATCTTGGAGACTTCTGCCGATTCCCTGGAGCACATCCTTCACTTTGTTACTGTTTTCATGGGTGATGTGGATAGGTAGGTGCAGCCCTGGATCCTTGATGCAGAACACCCGGGGTGACCAAGCAAGCAGAAATTGCAGAGCTGTCTTGAGGCTTGGTTCATGCAGCTGCGAGCAGCTTGATCTTTTTGAAACAGCTGAAATATGCCTGCAGGAGGCACAAAGGGAATAAAGGCCTGCCTGGAGGCCACAGGCTTCATGCAAGGTTCAAATGGGATTTAGTGCTTAAATATATGTGTTTGGTTGTATGATGCAGAAACCTCTCAGCTACAGCCATTTTGTACTTGTTCAAGGGAGCTCCTGGGATTGATCTGTTGGGAGTGTCTCTATGATTTCCACGGAATAGAACTGAGTAGTTCTATCAGTCTTCCTGATAAGACATCACCCTGCTTTCTGTATTCTGCTGTTCATTCATTTACACTCGTATTCCCATGGTGGGCAACTCTCATTGTTCCTGCTGTTCCTGGGAGGTGGAGTGGGGAGTTCTTCCTGGCAGTCCCCTACACCATCACCTGGGGTAGGTGGTTTGGTTTCTGCCCCACAAGTGCAGCAGAGGTATACTCTGACCTCAGTGCTTGGTGCTGGACAGCACATGCAGCAGGCAAAGCACTTAGATTTGCAGGGTAGAAAGGAAGCAGGTCTGTGGGCAGTAGGAAAACAGCTGGGACAGCTGGGTTTGTTCGAGAGCTCCAGCTGACAAGCAGGCATTGGGCTGTGAGTGGGAGAGCTGCTGTAGGAGGGGTGAGAGCAGCAGCTTGGCTGTTCCCACACTCTCCAGCCTTTGCCTGAGATTCCACTGTGGCATGCAGTCTGCAAGTGAGTGCTGACCCAGGGCTGGCTTTACTGATGGTCTGCAGCAATCTGGCACTCAATCATGGATCCTGGAGTGATTCCTGAGCAGCTCCATTCTGCACCATGGACATGCCATCCTGGATTTGCTTTGTTTTCTCTTGCAGGATGAAAAATCCTCATCTGCGAGCCAAGCTGGCTGAAGTGTTGGAAGCTGTGATGCCTCACTTGGATCAGGCTCAGAGCCCACTCGTCTCGAGCGTATTTCATCGCAAGCGAGTGTTCTGCTCTTACCAACACGCTGCCCACCTGGCCGAGGCACTCATCAAAGTCTTTGTGGATATCGAGTTTACGGGTAAGCGCAGCCAGGGAAGAGTTGTGTTCCTGTGTAGCATCTGTGGGGGACTGTCCACTTGAAAGGTTCTTTGGCTTGTGCCCAGGTGACCCACACCAGTTTGAACAGAAGTTCAACTACCGCCGTCCCATGTATCCCATCCTGAGGTACATGTGGGACACTGATTCCTACCGGGACAGCATAAAGGTGAGGCCAGAGGTGCATGTCCGAGTGTGCAACTCACATGAGTGGGCATGTGGCTTTGGGGCTGTGCTGCAGAATTCCCTATTCTCCCTTTTTTCACAGGCCCTGGCTGATTATGCCTCAGAGAACCTGGAGGCAATGAATCCCCCTCTCTTCTTGCGCTTCCTTAACCTGCTCATGAACGATGCCATTTTCCTGTTGGATGAAGCCATACAGGTAGGGCTGAGCTCATGTTCCATCATAATCCGGTAAACAAGTTCTCACTTCCTTGGTGCAATACTGACCTCCAGAACAGTGGCAGCTTGCCTAGCCCTGCCTGGCAAGTCTCTGCAGTAAGTAGTATGCCGGAAACAGTCCCATGATGGTGTGGCCAATGCCCTGGGAGAAGGGGTGAAGGCAAGAGGAAAGGTCTGGGGCCCTGTCTGTGGGTTACCCTTCCTTCTGTTGGGATCAGGAGGCAGCTCAGAACTAAGAGGAGCAAAAGGGCTTTTTCACATCCAACAGAAACCACGCTGGGAAATCTGCCGGTTCCCAATCTGGATACACTCAGGCTTTAAACAATCACTGTGGGTTTTTATTCTCAAATCCCCTTGGTCTTTCTGCAAGTGTTTTGTCCTAATAAAGGCCTTTTGTCTCCAGGCAGTTCTCCTTTGGGATTGCAAGGGAATTTCAGGTGCTCTCATGTCCCTGGTGTGTGTTAAATGTCTCTCCACTCCTTTCAGAGCTGCTGTTGCTGCTAGAAAGGGCTATTTTGGGGAGCTATTACCTGCCAGAGAGCTGATTGCTGGAAGGCCAGCAGATAAGATGGGTGATAGGGATGTTGCCTGACTGGTTTTGAGCGTTTCTGGACCTCCTTGGCGTCACCACCCAGCCAAACACTCCATGTGTTCTGTCTTGCAGTACCTCAGCAAGATCAAAATTCAGCAGATTGAGAAGGACCGGGGCGAGTGGGACAGCCTGTCCCCAGAGGCTCGCCGTGAGAAGGAGTCCAGCCTGCAGATGTTTGGTCAGCTGGCACGTTTCCACAACATCATGTCCAATGAAACCATTGGCACACTGGCTTTCCTGACTTCAGGTAGGGAAAATGGCCCCTCTTGCCTGCCAGGGAGGGAGCAGGCAGGAACTTCGTTTCAGTGTGCTCAGATGAGGATGGAATTGCTGTGAATCTGCAAACTCTTCTTTTGCTTTCCAGAAATCAAGTCCCTGTTTGTGCATCCTTTCCTTGCCGAGCGCATCATCTCCATGCTCAACTACTTCCTGCAGCACCTGGTTGGGCCTAAAATGGGAGCTTTGAAGGTGAAGGATTTCAGTGAGTTTGACTTCAAGCCACAGCAGCTCGTGTCTGACATCTGCACTATCTACCTAAACCTTGGGTAGGTGACAAGGGGAGTGAGCTTGTTGGTGGCAGGAGCCGTCTTGGTGATACTGGGGAAGAAATGCTTAGTTGCACTTGAGCTTTTCTTTAGCTTTGAATTCTTTGCTATGGGAATGTGGCTGCTGTGGGGACTGTTTTGCAGCCCTGAAAAATGGGGATTCTTAAACCTTTCTCTCATGTAACCTGTGGCGCAGGGATGAAGAAAACTTCTGTGCCACAGTCCCCAAGGACGGCCGCTCCTACTCACCAACGCTCTTTGCTCAGACTGTACGGGTTCTGAAGAAGATTAACAAACCTGGCAACATGATAGTGTCTTTTAGTAACCTGGCTGAGAGGATCAAGGTGAGCACTGGAGGGAATTCAACATAGGAAAAAAGATAGAGTTGGTTCCCTGTGTCCTTTTCGCTCTGTGTGTTGCTGCACCTTTGCTGTGGAGCTGGATTTCTAGGAATGGAGCTCCGTACAAGGTGCAGGTGGGGCAGTGGGAGGGTTCCCTGCCTGCACAGACCTGTGAATGCTCCCTGGTTTTTAAGGAACAGGGGGGCCGAATCCCTCAAAGCCACCTGTGCTCCCTAGTCTCTTGCAGACCGGCAGCAGCAGGAAGAGGAGACATACGCAGATGCCTGTGATGAGTTCCTGGATCCAATCATGAGCACTCTGATGTCAGACCCCGTGATCCTGCCCTCCTCCCGTGTCACTGTGGACCGATCGACTATAGCCCGGCACCTCCTCAGGTGTGCACAGCCCTCATACCTTGATACTTTGGGGAATCTGTTTCACATATCCAATGACTCTTCCTGGTCTCTCTCTTTTTTTTTTTTTATCTCTAGGACCAGGAATGTCCAAGTAATATCCTTGATATTTTATTTTATATTTCAGCGATCAGACAGATCCTTTCAATCGGAGTCCCCTCACTATGGACCAGATCAGACCAAACACAGAGCTAAAAGAGAAGATCCAGAGATGGCTTGCAGAGAGGAAAAAACAGAAGGAGGAGGAGCTGGAGGACACACTGAACTGAAAGACAGGATCTCATCATTAAACCTGTCATGGGCGAGATCACAGCCATGTAGGGGTAATGGCTGGAGCTGCCACCCTAATGACGACCACATTTAGTGCATTGCCACCACCTTTGGAGTCTCTCCTCTGACCTTCCCTGCGAGCTCTTGCTCTCTCTTTTCCTTTCAAGACTCTGTCTTTAATACTATGACTTTCCAGTGCACTACAGCTTCGGCCTCGGGAGAACACAGCCTCCTCATGACATGGTGCCCTGGCTCTGTATTACCTGCTCTTTGTGTTGGCCACCTTCTTTTCCAGCAACAGCGAAAGCCTCCCTCTGGTTCTGTGTTTAAACTGTGACCATCTTTCACTTGGTGAAAGCAATGCCTCCGGCTGCTCCCAGAGCGGGCTGGGGGGATCAACAGGGGGAGGACCAACAGGAGTGGGACGTTTTTCCATCTCCTGTGTGCCGAGGGTAGCACGGTTTACTTCCCCAGTGCGTGTCGGGAATGGCGGGCGTTGGAAATTAAACACAGATCACCTCGGGGCCGGTGGTGGAGCTGTGGCAGCACCGGGAGCTGTGGGAAGCCTCGCTGGGCGCGGCCCCGGCTCCGCGCGGGTCTCGAACCCGCGGCCCCGGCCGGCCCCGCCCCGCGCACGTGGCCTGGGGTCCTCGCGCGGGCTGGCCGCGGCGGCGCCGGGCGCGGCGGTGACATTGAGCGCGCAGCCATGGCCAGGGCGGCGCAGGGGCTGGTGCAGCGGCTGGTGCAGCGCGGGCCCGAGCTGCTCGGCGGTGAGGGAGGCTCCGGGCGGCGCTGGGACCGGCTGGGCACGGGCTGGGCTCAGGGCAGGGCAGCGGCGGCGGGCCGGGGCCGCGCAGGGGCCGGTGCAGCGCGGGCCCGGGCTGCTCGGCGGTGAGGGAGGCGCCGGGCGGCGCTGGGACCGGCTGGGCTGAGGGCAGGGCAGCGGAGGGGACGGGGAGCAGGGCTGAGGGCAGCGGCGCTGGGCCCGGGCAGGCTCCCGCCGCTGGGGAAGCACCGGGCCAACACCGTCCGCTCCGGTCCCGCTCCGCAGCCGCCGTGACCTACTCGAAGCCGCGCCTGGCCACCTTCTGGTACTACGCCAAGGTGGAGCTGGCCCCGCCGAGCCCTGCCGAGATTCCGCGGGCCATCGACAGCATGAAGGGGCTGGTCAGGGCGTTCCAGACCGGCCGCCTGGCGCAGCTCACCGTCAAGGTACCGGCGGGGCGGGACGCGACACAGCCGGGGACAGCGCCAGCGAGCTTCCCGGCCACCAGCAATGCTCCGCTCCTGCCTCGGGAAGCGTGGGAGGTGTTTTCATGGAATTCAGGGGCCCAGACTTTAAAGTGTTTTGTTTTATTGGCTTTGCTCTAATTCTTCCCTGCCTGGGCCAGGCTGTGATTGTTCCCCTCTGCTCCCAGGGAAGGGAGAATCCATAGGTGGCTGAATGAGCCCAGCCTTCTGGATCAGCTGTGTCATCCACTGGCCTTGAAATTAGTGTATTTCCCGTGTGTGGGCTAAAAAATTATCCTGAAAGACCTACAAAAAGCCACAATCAACAGCTGACAGTGTACTTAATGTTGTAGAACGTTTCTGTGATGGGACATGTTGAGGGGTAGCCAAACACAGCAAACACCCTGCTCCTTTTCTGGGTTTTTCTGGAGGGCATAGATGTGGCAGTGGGAGTGAGGGAGGAGCTGTTGCAGGAGTGTGGGATCTAACCCAATGGCTTTTTCCTTTCAGGACGCACTGAGGAATGGCCTGGTGGCCACGGAGGTGCTGATGTGGTTTTACATTGGGGAGATCATCGGCAAGGGCGGCCTCATTGGGTACAACGTGTGAACACTCACCTCAGCAGTGTCACGGTGCTGGGTCTGTAATGTGGTCTGCAACAATAAAACTAGGAGCCTATATCGAGTTGTTGTCATCCTTGTCTGGTACTCTGACAGGTGCCAGCCTGTCCTGGCAGCAATGCTGGCAGAGATGGCTCCTCAAGAGGGGTCTAAGGTCCAGGCCCAAGGGTGCCAGAGCTGCTTCAGTGACATCACTTTTGGTCACCAGAGCTGTGTTTGCTCTGGGACACTCACTGTGTCCTGATGGTGGCCCCAGAGGAGGTCTGAGAGCCCCAAAATCAAACCAAGACTGCAAAGGGGAAACATTCAATTTGTTCCTGAATGCAGTTCCCATCAGCTAGTGAGACCCAAAAGCAAATTCCAGTACTTTTTACACTATCAAAAGCAATTTCCATTGTTTATTGCATAGGGAACATGGCTCTTTTGGTTTGGTGTGTGTCTGGTGCAGTGGAAGCCTGTGTAAGCAGAGCTTTGCTGCATGTGTCACCTCAGCTCCCACCGGCCAAAGGTTGAGCCATCTCAGTGTCAGCCAGCTCTTGCAGGGTTTTCTACAAAACCTGGTGAGTGCCCTGTGCTCTGACATGTTCAGAAAATAATTTGTTGAAGTTTACTGAAGATATCAGCCTGTTTTTACTGTCTTACAAGATGGTTTTAGTCAGTATTGCTCCGTGTTGATACTGTTGTGGTCTTGCTGCTCCTTTGCTCCTCTGGGTGTTGTGCACACCAGTGACGCTCCAGCCCCCTGCCCAGCCTGTGTTCCGTGCTTGCTTCTCCCACAGGCCTGGCCAGGACACCGTGCCTGCCTCACACAGCCCTCCTGGTGCTGCGGAGAGTTTTGTGACTGCTCAGCCCCAGCAAACCTGACCAGGGCTGCAGCCAAATGGTCTGGCTGAGCAGGGGTGAATGATGGCTCCCAAAACTGCCCCTCCCCACAAGCTTTTTGCTCCTGCCGTCACAAACCTTTCACGCAGCAAGGGGAAGGGGCCAGGCCCTGTTGTGAGATTCTGCAGGATATATTCCTCAAGGAGAGGGAGATCACATATGGGATGTAATGGGTGAGCTTGACTGGAAGGAGGATTCTGAACCTAAGAGAACCTCACTGAGAGCGAGGCTGTCTGATTTGGCTCCGAGACCTGCTTCTCTTCTCTGACTTGTTCTTGTCTGCGCATGCCCCTCTCAAAGCATGTTCTAGAGGGCATTCAGGGGGCTGCAGCTCACACTAGCACTGGCCTGGCAAAAGCTTCAGTGGGTGGATGGGATTAAGCTTCACTAGTAAAGCATGGGAGAGCTCAATAATGCTCCTGTTCCTAGAGAGGGAGAAACAATCTAATTTTAGTTCTCCTCCCGGGAAATCCTTGGGAGAAGTCCCCCCAGCCCCGCTCCCACAGCAGAACCCCGGGCAGAAGCAGCATCTGTGACCCGAAAGGGCTCCAGCAGCTTGTTGGTCCTCTCCAACACCAGAACAGCGTCTGCCTGCCCAACCAGCCTCCTGCCCTGCCCTCAGCTGATGAATTTAGGAGGAAAATGGCTATTTCACGTCCCCAGGCGGAGGGATTTACATCCTATCCGTGTGCTCGCAGTGCTGTTCTCACAGAGTACGGTGGGCACTTGTTGGATGTTAACCCTGCTCTCGCCGCGCCGTGCGCGACGGGGTTGCCAGCCCGGTGGTGTCGCCGCCGCCTCCCTCCCGGCGGCGGCACCGGCAGGGCGCGGGGCCGCAGGCAGGGCACGGCCCGGGCCGCAAGCGTAGGGCGAAGCCGCGGGCGCTCGGTACCGCAGCTCGGGCCGCGGTCCCCCCGCGGGGACCGGCTCGTCCCGGGCCGAGCAGCGCAGAGTCTCGGGAGGGACTGCGGGCTCCGCCATGCCGGGCCCGGGGCCGCGCCCCGCGCCCCGCATACAGCCCGGCGCTATGCAGGGGTCGGCAGCACCGCCTATGCCGTATGCGCGGTCCGGGGCGCGGGGCTCCCGCTCCGCTCGGCATCACCGTCGGGGTTATGAGGGTTGCTTGCGGCCCGCTTATACGCCAGGCAGATTCCAGGGCTAATTCGCGAGGAGCCCTGCACCTGTATAGCAATGTGAGTTATGAGGGGCCGCGGCGACACGAGGCTGCGCTATCCAGGACGGGGGGCTGCACTGGGGCTCGGGCCCGGGGTCCTGCATATTGCCCAGCGTTATGCCCGGCTGGCACTGATCGAGCGTAGCTTATTCATGTGCCGGGGCGGCGGGATGGCGGAGCCCCACAACCTGCATGGCAGCCGTTGTTATGCAGCGCCTCCGCGGGCCGGCGAAGCGCTATGCAGGGCGCGGGGTGCGGCCCGGCCCCGCTCTCTGGCTCGTCGCCTCTCAGTAAAGATGGCGCACAGCGGTCGGTGGCGCTTCCCCGCCCGGCCCGGCAGCGGCGGCTGGGGCCGCCGGGGCCCGGGGGGGTCCCGCCTACGGGTGCCGGCCGTGCATAGCCTGCGGCCCGCCGAACCTGCGGCGGCGCCGGCGACGGCGGGCGAGGGCGAGCGCGGCGGCCCGTGCTCCGGCGGGGCGGCGGGAAGCGGCGGAGGCGGGGCAGCGCCGGGCCCCGGCGGCCCCGCGGCCGCGGCCGGTCCCGGCTTCGACGCGGCGCTCCAGGTCTCGGCCACCATCGGCATCAACCTGCGGCGGTTCCGCGCGGCCTGCGGCACCGAGGCGGGCAGCGGAGAGGTGAGAGGGGCGGCGGGGCGGGGGCGGGGGGGCGCGGCGGGCGGGCGGGTCCCGGGCGCAGCATCCCCGCGCCCCGGCGGCGGCGGCCCGAGCACAGCCGGGCGCACCCAGCCGGCCCCGGCCGCACAGCCCGCCCGCCGCCGGACACACCTCCCGCGCCCCGCACAAAGGGCGCGCCCGCCGGGGGGGCCGGGGGCGGCGGCGGGACCCGGCGGGCGGGACTCGGTGCCGGTCCCTGGTGCCGGTCCCCGGTGCCGATCCCTCCCCGCGCACGCGACTTGCCGCCGGTGCGTCCTCCCTGCCGCCGCCTCCATTATCCGTCTCCCGCCGCTCCCGCGCCCGCGGCGGGGCGGGATGCGGTGCGCACGCCCCGCCGCCGGCAGCGAGGTAGGATGGACGGGGCCGGCGCCTCCCGGTGCGCCCCGGTGCCGAGGATGCTCGGCGGGGTGATGCGTCCTTCCCCGGGCGCGGGGGCTTGAGGGGGCTGGGCTGCCGGCCCCTCCTGCGGGCCCGGCGGTGGGTGTCGCGCACCGGCCCTCCCCCTTCTCCTTCTCCTCCTCCTCCTCTTCCTCCCTTTCGCTGTGGATGCCCCAGGCGGAGCTTGGGGTGGCGGGCCCGTTGCGAGAGGCCGTTTGCCGGTACTAAGAGCGCTGGCTCTCCTTTTTTTCTTTTTTTTTTCTTTTTTTTTTTTCTTTTTTTTTTTTTTTTTTTTTTTTTTTTTTTTTTTTTTTTTTTTTTTTTTTTTTTTCTCCCTTCAGTTTTTTTTTAAGCCTTTCTAAGGCAGCCGGAGTGGGAGTGCGACAACAACCCACCTATTGACAGAGCAGGGAGGACATGATGGGGGTGTGTTACTACGAGCTGCAGCGTTCCTTTCCCCCAGTTGTTTTGCATCGCTCCTTAGCGGCATCCTTGCGCCGGCAAGAGAATTCCCTGGGTCTTTTGTACCAGAAGGGCTTTATTATCGATTTTTGAACGGCCAGC